TTTTTTTTAATTGTCCACCAGCAATAGTGATCACAGTTTGTAACATTTCAAGTGTTTGTACAAAATACTACAAATGTAAAAGGATTGTAAAGTTTTCGCGCGTTCGGCCGTACAGTCTTCGTTCGTGTTACTCACACTGATGCGTGCATACGCGAGAGTAGACGGAAGGGGGTCTTTACTGTACAATCTTTCATGTTCGTTCGTGAATAGCATTATTTGGCGTGATTTTTTCGTTTATGCATGTACTACATACAATGACGCAATGCTTTTAATTGTAGTGACTATTTATATTTTATGCGAATGAATTAGTGCTACATACAATGACGCAATGCTTTCAATTGTAGTGACTATTTATATTTTATGCGAATGAATTAGTGCTCTATTTCACAGAATATTTTTAAGGAATATAATTATTAATTAGCTATACCTACAGCATCTCAAACTTATTCCCCACTGAGGAAGATGAGTAAATGGTAATATACTTAAAATTTTAGACATAAATATGGATCTAAAGGATTAGTTGAAAGAAGAAAATAATGAAAAAGGTACGCCTTTCTGTTTTTGCTCAGTCTGAGAATTTCAGACTACACTTATTCCATTCATTGGTTTCATTCAAATATAAAAATATTCTTAGTTCTCCACTTTTTTTAATAGCAAACCGAAGTGCAGACTGGTTCAAACTGACCCAAACAATGCAATAAATCATAAACTTTTGAAAAAATATATTTGGGAGGACACTGTATAACATTATTAAATTCAACATTATTAGTGATGTGAAAGCAGTTCAAAAACGATTGTTTAATACTTCTCGTTCAATTTAGAATGCGAACTGAAAAAAGATTTCCTTTAAATGACGATGAAACTGTCGTCAGTTGTTTTCGTGATTCAGTAGTGGTACTTATGATGCCAAATTGTAATCTTCAATTTTACATTTAGCTATGCAGCTCGCCCAACTTGTTTCTGAAGACAAATTAGATCTAGATGGGGAATGGAGATAATTTCGTTTAAATCAAGATTTAGATCTGTCTTCCAAAATCATCTCTGAGCTTTGAAGTCTAGTACGTAATGTGAAAAAGATGGCTTTTTTTTTAATAATTCTGAATACGAGATTTTATCTAACATGACCAGACTTAACTTTTAGAAGAACCTGGTATGGCTAACTTTTGACAATATCACTTTGAGAATAAACTGAGATATTATGTTAAAGTTGAAAATTTTAAAATATAATTCCATTTAATGGACATTGCACAGCCGTTTGGATATTTCTTTAGTTTACATTTCCTTATTATTTTGGCAAGCTGATTTAGTACGTGCACAAAAGTTAAGATTAATTAAATAAGCAAATTAATCTAACCCATTAATTGTTACCAGCCGTAAAGTTAACAATTAAAACTTGAAAATTTAATAACAATTACATTTAACAAGTACTTTATCAAAAAGATTTGGTAGATGCTACAATATTATGCTTAAAGAGCAAAATCAAATCAGTAAGTCTGGAAAAATGCTGAAGTCAGGCGAACCGGTTTTCAGAGTTTCTGTAAGAGCCATTCTTCACCCCAAATGGCGAAGTAGTTCCACTGGGAAAGTTAATTTATTGCCTCACTGGCGATACTGCTGGCTCTCTAGCTATACCTTTGCCTGTTATGTAACAAGTAGACAGCCCTCATATACTTTTCTATATTCAAATAGCCCAACCTAATCTTTGATGCAATACAATTCTTAAACATCACTAACTGGAAAGATATAAGATGGGTCTTAAGGATTGCGTTAGAGTAGTTGATTCTACAAAGGACTCCGGAAATCCAAACGTTTCAGAACCGCAGATGTAACTAATCCAATTTTCATTAGAAAGTTCTGTGCAAAGGCACATCACTCTAAACAGATAATCGCGGGTGGTTTGCTATTGTTAAATTGTCTAATGTAGAGTGCAAATAGTAAAAAATTAATTTTGCGCAATATTTTCTGTATTTAAGACACCAGAAGCGGTGTGGATTTCTGTTTAGAAATTTGAAGGAAAGATCCACATCACAGAGTGCAACGGAACTCTAGTCAACAGGAATATCAGTTATCTATTCTTCTTTTATTTTAATTGGAAACCAAAACGATCTTAATTAGATCCCATCTTTGCAAAGCGTATTTGCTTCACCTGAAGAAAGATCGGTGTCTGATCGCTCTCGAAATCGACAGATTTTTATTCAAAGTCCTCTCCAAACTAAGATTGCTTTTTTTTTCTTTTTTTTGGCCAAATTCTAAATTTTGCATAGGCGTGTTTTTTCCGATTTAATTTTAGGCCGCTTACATAAATTTTTCTGTTTAATTTAAAAAGAACTTTTTTTTAGTCAAATAAAAGTAATTTAATTGAATAATACGATTAAAAAGACCAAAGGTATATATATATTGCATATTACTATATGTAAATAACAATTTTACGAACTCGAAGAAGGTTTACTTTTTACGATTTGCAATAAAATCCTACCCAACATAAATATAAGTTGTCGCCAATTTATGGTGCCTAAGATTTTTCGTTTATTTTCGATATTATAAAAGCATATTACTTAGTGCAGTGCAAGTTAATCATATAAAAAGTTATTTATTTGAATTTCTTAACAACATTTTGCAAACACTGTCATTTATATAATGACTGTTATTAACAGAAGGAACTTTTAATATCTACATATAACAGATTAACTGCAAAATTTCCAATTGCTTTTTCCTTATAGTATCGTCTGAATTCACAATAAATTCTAATGGTTATGATGAAATAATATGCAGAATGAATCCTTTCTCTATAATATTGTTTTTAAAATTTTATTCAGACAATAATATACTTTTTAATACTTTGTTTTTTTCTGGTTATGTCATTTCACGCTCAAAAAAGAAATGTATTAAGGAGGGGAAAAAAAAAAAAAAAAACCTCGAGCTTTTTCAGTAGAAATTCTTTTTGAGTTTTATTTTTATTTAGCGGCAAAGTTTTAGTTTTGTGAATTGCAACAGAAAGCATTGTTTAATTTTACGCTTTCTTCTTCAAATATTTGGACTTTTTTTGAATGTTAAGACGATATTCTATTTCTGGACAGTTTTTACTATCTTAAGGTAAAAAGCTATCTGCTCGTTCAGTATGGACAGAATGAGCATTTTTTTGTTTCATTAATTCTTGAAAAACTAAAATAATAACTTCTATAAAATTATCCAAGGTTTTGTTTTGAGAGTTAAATATATTTTAGAAGGCCAAATAATTTAACTCGATACGGATTTCAGATTTTAAATATTTAATTTCCTTCTTCACTAGTTATAACTGTAATAAAATAATTTGACAAGACTGTAATAAAAGACTTAGATATGAAAACTGTCATAAAATATATAATGCAAAAATTTTTAAATATGTGGTAAACAGAATTATAGAAACAAAAGATAAATATTTTATAATTTATGGAATGTTAAAGATTTATTTTTTTCCATTCACCTGAGAACTTTTACAATTTATTAAGGAAATGCGTTAGATCGTAAATTTAAAAATTTCAAATTATAAAGTTTAAAAATCTTTTTAGAACTTTAACTTTTTTTGAGGTCTTAAACACTAATCTGACGTTTTCAAATAGTAATTTAATTTTTACCTTTATTATATTATTTTTATTATATTACATTCTTTTTAGTGCATAAATTTCATTAAAACTAAGTGTGATTAAAAAATAATACATAAAATTTACCTCACTTTCACTAAAGGCAAATTTGTTTCTCTGTTAATGTATAAAACATCAGTGTCAAATTTACGATAGAGATTTGAAATGACCAAGATTTACCAAGATTGAAGTTCTGTTGAACCTCATTTTTTTTTAAAAATGCAGTAAGCATAATGTACTTGAGTTTTTTTATACTTAGTTTTCCAAAATATTTATATGGAAGCAATTATATACTTATAAAACATAATATTCCTAAAATGTAACAAATGTAATAACAATCAAACTCAGAGTTCGAAAAGTGTCTGAAACAGATAAATGAATAAAAAAAATACAATTACATTTCGAAAAGTGAAATTTTGAGTTTTTATTTATTGAATTTTTTTCAGTGTTAATAAAATTTTAGTCTTTTTCTATTGTTTTTTAAACTGTTTTTAACTTATTTCCTGTTTTAGGTTTTTCTGTATTTTTAATGAAGGTGTTTTGTGTTTTTACGTATTTTCGCCTTGTCGCGAAATGAGAGCTGAGTTGATTGAATGAGAAATATATCTCTAATGAAATAAATTTATTTAAACTTATTCAAGTGCAGACAAAAATGTATATAATTTAATAGGCCGTACAAGGAAGTCATGTGGTGTCCACATCAGACATTTTTTTGTTAATGTTTAAAACACTATTTTCTTCTCGTCTTCTGCTTACTTAGCCGTTCTTCTCAGCTTAAGTACTACGGAGCAGACACTGGTAAAATATGCTTATATAAATAACATTTTGTTCATTATGTAAGAGGAATTGAATATGTGTCATGGCTGATGCAATTATCTGAACGACGATAATTTGCCTGATCCAGTCGCAGAGCTTTTTACAAGTTGCATCAAACATTATAAATTTACAATATTCTCTTTGAAAACATGTTTTCTATAAGAACTGCTTGGTTATGAAAACTCAGGTAAGATTTAGTTTAATATAAAAGCGAATGTATTTTTAAATGATAAACAATCATAAAGATTTTAATCTGAATGTTATAAATAATGTGAAATGCTGCAGTTATGTGTTACTCCATCCTAGGAGGTAAAAAGGTCAATAGTAACTTTACAATAATGTCTTTAAAAAATAAACTGTTTTTAAATTGCCGTAAAATTGATTTGCCGTAAAATTTAATGGCCGTAAAATTGATTTGACTTCTGTACATCTAACTGTTGTAATTTACTAAGTAACTTAAAACCAGACCGTCGAGTACATGAGCGGTCCAGAATAGCTACAGTCAGTTACAACAAAGTCTTGCAAACGTAAGTATGTTATGAATGACAATAAAAAAACTAAGAATTTATAACAAAAACATTTAATTCAGGAAACTTTATTGCTTACATCATTCACAGTGAAAAATATATGATGGCAATGTCAGTTTATGTCTGGATTTCACCGTCATAAATACTAACAATAACGGCGTCATACACATTTTGTCTTCTTATACACATATTTACAAGGCAACTGGCACTATCTAGATTAAGGGGGAAATAGATATGGACAGAAAGCTCCACCGAGGTATGGAGGGCTCGATCAGAAGGAATAAAAGGGACGATGCATTTTACTAAACTTTCGACTAAGATTGCCTTTCAAATCAAATGGGGACAAAAAAATCTTTGGATAGTATACGATGAAGCAACTTCTCAGTCTACGATATGGCATTCGAACACAACTTGATGGCAAAGCTATAAATAAGATGTTAAAAAAATGTCATGGGGAAAAGCATAAAGTCACACCAAATTACATAATGCTTTTAATTAAACAAATGTGATATTGGCACAAAAACTAGTTGCAAAGAACTTGGAAGTTTATTTTTTCACAGCATGGCAGGACAAAAATATGCCATGTCAGTTCGAAGTAGCTTCAACGTACGACGCGAACATCGTTACAGTTCCACGCAACATAACAATGTATAAATGAACATAGATAAAGAGAATATTACACGACATAGTTGCAACCCATACAATTAAGTTAAGTGATGAATTTGTTTGAATGACATAAAGGGATGTACGAAATATGCTCGAGGTAAGAAGACGAAAATAGGGCTGGATCAATTATCCTCGATATCTTTCACTTGCAATCACAGCCAAAAATTGTGAGCAGAAGACGGAAAAGACACCGTTGTAACAAACGGTATCTTAAAAATAAACGCCAGAAGTAAATGCGCGTTCTTTCTTTGGGGAAGTTATTGAATACTGAGCTTTGGGGGAACGATACAAGCCGAATGCTTGATAGTTCCTCCCCTTCGACTGGGAAAGGGAAGAATTCAACAACAGTTTTTAGGAAGGATATAAAGACACGAATAGAAATCCATAACGTCATTCTGGTTTTTCTTTTATTTTTATTAGAGTCTTATACCAAATGATGAAAATGACGATGAGAGAATGATTGATACGTAAAAGATCATGCAGAGTGGGAAGGATTTTTCTACATCAGGCAGCAGAAATAGTAAGAAGCACCTTTCGATTTTTTTTATTAATTTTTATATTTTATACACGTATTTCTTCTTATGTCCACAAATCTCGAAATTATTTCCCCACAAACAACATTCGGGGAAAAGTGGCTTGAAAAATAAAATAACAACATCAGAGTTCGAATTGAAGTGGCACAAATTCACGAAAACAAGTCTGGATTCAGAATCAACAGGTGGCACATTTTTTTAAATAACCGGATAAAGCTTGCGAAACCAACTCTTCGAAACGTTTCTCGTGACGAAACTTGTAGAAGAATCAGAATCCTTCTTGATAATGCAAGTCCTGATATTTTGTGTGGGAGAAATAATACTCCCAGGTAGGTCCAAGAAAGTCAATAGAAACGTCCAACAGTCATAAAAGGAATTTGCATAGTTAAATACATAACAGCTTTTAATTCAGCGGCATCCGAGAAGGAATGAGTCTAATTTCTGAGGGTGTTTGTACAGAACTTATTTTTTTATATCTTTTGATGTACACAAGGCAGTTTTCATTCAGTGTTTCCGGACAACACACAAGCTCCTCGTTTCTAATACATGCAAAAACAAACAAAACAATACGATAAAAACACAGTTGTTCTTTTGCTTGGGACGTACGTCTTGGAGGTCGCAGTGAATCCTGGCATCCGCCGTCTGTTTGGAGGAGATGATAGTGTTCCGTCGAATCGGTGAGACTGGAAGCCCGAGACGAACCAACCAGTAATCGGAAGCGGCAATATACGAGGACAAGGTATCACGACGTTGGTTTTTCTTTTCTCTTTCGAGTCATAGGGAAAAACACCTGACAAGAAAAAAGAACTGAAAATTGCCGAGATCATCCCAAAGTCGTTTTCGGTCTGCGACGGAACCTAGCGTCAGACATGCGTTGCCAGCGTCCCCGGCTTGAGAGCTTGCTGGGCGGTGATGTACCGGGTCTGCCCCGGGTTCGGCTGCTGCGAACTCGGTTGCTGCGCCGCAGCTGCCGGCGACGTCGGGCTTGGGGTGTGACTGCCCCAAGAAGATGTGACGAAGACGCCCCCTTGAGGAGGGGGTGCCATGTTAGACGTTGAAGTCCGCTGGTAAGGGTTGGCATACCCCGCCCTGTAGTGGGAATCCAGCGTGTGTGAGAGATCGCTCAGCAACTGGGGTGGACTACCGTAGATGCTGCTGTCTCGGACGCCACCGGCGGGTGGGACGGCTGTAGGGGTGTAATCACGAGCGTAATCCACATACTGGATATAGCCGTTGTTAACTTGGCTTTCCTAAAATAAGAGATAATTATTTTTAGTAAAAACCACATTTTTCTCTGAAGAAAAGAACTATTGATGAAAATTTCAGAAATCTTTCAAATGTATATAACTAAATTATATTCAACTGATAGCGCAAGGCATGCAAAACTCCATTAAATTAATACGCTAAAAATAAAACTGCAAACTCTTTTTTGCTCATTACATGTAGTCCAAGTAAAAATTTAATGCATTTAAAGGTCAAAATACATTTGGATAAGGGGAATCACTACTTGTTTTCCTAAAATCAGTCACAAATGCGCAATAGTTTCATGATTTAGGCTGTCCTATTGTTGCATCATAAGCTTAAAAATATTCTGGAATTCAATTAGTTATCAACTGTAAACAACATCGGAGAATGTGATTTGATTGAAGATATTTCCTCAGCTTTGCGCTGAAAATCTTGAAATAGATTTAAAAGGTGAGGAAACTAAAAATTTCAGGTAAAAATCTTGTTCTATTTTGAGAAACAAAGCTCGAATGAAACACGTAATTTTAGTTAATTCATTTGATTACCCACAGGTAATCAGATAAATTAACTAAAATCTGTAATCAGATGTTAATAACCAAAGACAATATACACTGCTCTCCAAAGTTCAAGTAACTGCCTGTTTTTTGTGTCTAATTTGAGAATGAAGCAACATAGAAACATGAAATTTACAGGACATATTCAATAAAGAGTTCTTTAATGAACGCGACATAGAATGTTTCTAAAGTTCAACATAAACATGAATTACAACAAAAAAATTGCACTCTTGACAGCGAAATCAAGTCTTGGAGAAACAGTATATCACAGTTTTTTGAGGAAAACTAGGGTGATAACATTATAAAAATTGGTTCTAAGGAATGTGCCCAACCCTAGCTGCAGTACATTGGCGCAGCAGTTCCTGCTGCCAAGTATGTTTCGCCATGAAATGGAGTACGCAGTGAGTAATCCTTATTCAAGCTCATCTAACGACCTTGGAGGAGGACTTAAAGCAGCAACTTGTTTCCCAAGGTAGTACGAAAGATTTTCTATCGATGCAGGTCTGGGGATTGACTGGCCATTCCAACCGCTCCTACGTACCTTCATATATCTTCAGTAACTCGAGCTCGGTGGGGTCCCGCATTGTCGTCCATCAGAAGAAATCCAGGACCAATAGCAGCGGCATATGGGCTGCCATATTGATGAAGGATCATGTCTCAATATCTCACACCGGTCAACGTTCCTCCATGGAACAGATGTAGGTCAGTGTGACCACCGAGAGAGATCCTAGCCCAAACCATTATTCCAATACCTCTGTATCTGTGTTTTTCCACAATAAGGGATTGGTTGCGTTGTTGCCTCCAGATCAGCTGACGACCTGAATCGTTCTCCAATGTGAACCTGGACTCGTCTGTGAAGAGAACAGACGCCCATGGTTGACTCGTCCAGGAGACGTGTTCGTTCTCTTGTCCAACAGAAACCGGGACCTCTGTGTCCTCGGGTCAAGGGGACACAAACCACTGGACGTCTTGCATACAGACCTGTACTGTGTAGGCATCTGCGCACTGTAGTATCTGAGATTCTTGTTCCTGTTGCCACTAAATGATCTGCCATGAGCAGAGGCACAGTAATGTTACTCCTCCTTTGGGCCAAAAGAGTTAAATATCGGTCTCCGGCAAGTGTTGTAACTCTAGGTCTGCATGAAGCATGTCCTCTAAACACAGAATCTTCGGATTCAAACTGATTCTAAACACAGAATCCTAGGATTGACACTGTCTCGTAGTGTCATTGGACCACACTACGAGAGAATTGAGACGTCTAGTAGCATCAACTTGTGACATCCCCATTTCCATCCATCCGATCGCTCGCCACCTCAACGAATTGGGCAAACGACGTTTCCTGGACATTATTTACGAAACTGTAATAACAACTGAAGATCAACATTTATGAACAAAAATTACAATTTTTGTATTTTTTTCTCCTTATTAAGTATTCCTTTCTATAAAATAAAAGTGGTAGCTATTGTTTTCGCATATATTTTCTTAAACTTCGTTTCTGCCATGCATATGAACTGTAAATTTAAACGTTATTGTCATAATTGTAATGGTGAGCTTTGAAAAACATGCTGTTCCTTAACTTTTGGAGGGCAGTGTATATACATGCTTCGGAATTTATAAAAGAAATCTCGATTGCTTGATACCTTTTTTCTCTGTTCACTGATAATAATTTTGATGAAAATATAAAATTATTTGATCTAAAAAATAATGTCTAATATAAATTAAAATAAATAAAATTAATTCGAAGATCACTGCAGAAATTAAAAATAAAAGCTGAACTTTTCAGTTCTTTCCTCAAAATTGATCAGATATATTTGCATTTAAAAGTATGAAGCAAGATCTATGATGGGAAAATATTGTGTAGTTGCAGATAAACTTTCAAGGTTTTATGCATATGTAAGATAGTGACGAATGCATATAAATCTTAAAGGTATTAAAGTTAAGATAATTATAATATCGAAAGATTGCTTTATGAATCGTGGTGTTGTAATTATCGAAACTTCTAAATCCTATCTAAATGTTTAGTGTGTTTTCCATTTGAAAAGTATATGTATTTGGAAATTTCGTAAAAAATATATCACCTCTCAAAACGGTCGGAAAGGCTTTGAAAATGATAGAAAAATTTAATTTAACTTTCGAGAATATAACTGCGCAATGTTTATGAGTTCCATTAACGATTTACATCCTCCCTATGTTTCCTCATAAAAACTACCTACATGGTATTTTGGTATTTGCATTTTTAGTAAAACTGCGGATAGAGATATTAGTGTACAGCCAAATTAATGTCAAGAAATGACTGGATTCTAATTCAGGTTATGTCTGATAATATCAGGAAATGTGTCTTATGCGAATGTTCTTTTGCGAAATTGGCGCAATATTAAAATCAAGTAGATGTTATTTAAATTAGAGAAAACTAAATAATTGCAAAGAATTTCTGTGAAATATTGAATCATGATTGACAAATAATTAATTTTACAAATAATTATTAATGCATTATATATGAATAATTATTTAATAATTAATTATGCATGATTCACTCATGCATAATTATTTATTTTATAAAAATATTGCAAGCTCTTTGAAATGAATTCATTTTCGAGGAAACGTCAAATTTGTATATTAATATAAAAGTCTGAAAGATTTACTAAACGAAACCTTACATTTCTTTTTTTTTTTCAGTAAATTTTTAACTGAAGAAAATGTTTTTTCTTGTAATGATGAAGCGCATTTACATTTTTGTACTTTACATTTCTTATAGAGACTCTCACATAACTCTAACACTAACACTAACTCTCACACTCTATAATACATTTTTAACTTACAAGTATAAAAGAATGTTTATTTTGTGACGTTCTGCATAGTTAATTTATAATGGCAGAATTGCAAATCTATACAAACCAAGGCGAATAAAATTTTTGTATAATTTTAAGAACCTAGTATTAATAAGTACATTCTTGTGAAATATTTTCAACAGAAAAATTTAAATGTTAAAAGAAAATTTAAATGTTAAAATGGACAGAAGAAATGGAAAAGCGAAGAAAAATATATTATTAAATACAGCAAGAAGGAAAGTACGTGCAAAATGCCATGCAGGTATAAACAAGCTTACAGTAATCAATGCATATATTAAAAACATACAAATAACCTTTCTCAGGTGTTTTACTGCTACCTTTCTCAGGATATTATTTATATCTCGGTTAAATATCATACGCTAACCTTTATTTTGAATCTGTTATTTTAATGAATAAATTTTTTATGCATTTATTGGATCTTTTACAAACGCGAAAAAAAGAACTGCCAATTTTGGATGTTTAAAGCATTTTCTATTATAGCATAAATAAAACTTGTTTTCTACTAAAAAAAACTTTTAAATACATCTTTAGGGTTTCTTCTTGCCTTTTTAGAAAAGAAGATGATTAAGAGAATAATTACAGATTTTTCTTTAAATTTTGGTTTTAGTAAAATTTTTCATGAATTGAGGCATTTAAAATGATTCATAACATTGATTTATAATATGCTTAAATAAAACAGTTTCTACGTTCTATTCTCTGCCTTATCATAGAAGTGATTAAAATAATCAAGACTGTAAATGAAAATTACGAGCGAAACTAAAATCTTTTAAGTGACCGTAATTTGCAAATGTCAATAAAACGTTTTGAAATGAGAAGTAATTACAAAGACAGATTCCTAGGATTAGGTACATAAAAAATCAGGTAAAAATAAAAAAATAAGGAAAAATATATATATATAGCCCACATGCAGTAGGCGAGCTTGCTGTAATTTTTTCAAGGTTTAACATGTAATATCTTAATTTTTAGGCGTACCTTGTAACGGGTTTTTAGTTTCGGTAAAAGCTGATAAGAGCGAAGCCTCAAATTCTAATACTATTCTATACAGTTTCTAGCTCATTATTATTATTATTTTTGTTCAAGTTGGCTCTGTTTCACTCTCATTGTTAGTAGGCGGACATGAAAAATAGGTGAACATCTTTAAAAATTCCTACGTATGTAATGAAAAGAATTATTTATGGCATAAATAATTCTCTTCATTACATGCATAGGAACTTATTTAAAAAAAAACAAAATATATTATGAGTTTATTAAAAAATATCGGTTTCTTAAATTAGTCTTTAACTGGTTTGAATTTTGTTACATATTCAGTCTCTACAGAAAATTAAAATTATGCTATAAGAATTGGCTAAAGTTATTGTGATTCTTTATTAGAGATTTTGGTAATGTTATATCGATAATACATGCAGTAAGATTGCTTGAAATTTTAAAGTCGCAGAAGTTCCTAAAATAGTGTTTAAAGGCAGTCTGAAAACTAATGCGTATGTTACCGTGAAAGACCGAAATTGGAGAATGTCGACTTTCACCGGAGAATGTCAACATTCACCAAATGCGTTGGTGAAAGATCGAATATTGCATTACATTCTTGTACATTCGGACCCTCAC